CCAATTGACTTCTTGAAATCTCGTCAAACTTCCTCTAGCCTTCTTGCTCTTTCCTGGTATTGTACGCAAACTCTCTTTATTACGACCGTTGAGACTTCTCCTCAAATTCTCTAATATCTATTCGAACTTCCATTAAACGTTCTACTTCCTTGTCTATACTCGGTTGGTTGAATGACTTACTCCTACAGCTGGTTCCGAGACTCTAGCTCTTAGCCCTCTAGTTCCAACTTATTACAGAGGTTCCTCCTTCTATCACTCCTCATGTACCCTAGACGGCTAGGTGCTCCCTCCATTTAGGATAGGAAAATCCCATAACAAATCATCATGAACTCTTGCATACCCCTTCCAACAGTCCCAACATCCTCTTGACCTTTTGTGATTTGGGTAGTTTGTAGGGTCTCTACTATCCTCCTTCTAACTCAGTGTATCTTGGTATCCAACTCACGCACTTCTGAGAAGTGGTTCTCTATTCGTACTGCCATCTACTAGCTAACTATTATTCTCTCCCACATTCCATGTCTTTTCTTATGTATTGACTCCTCACTGTCTTCTACCAGGCATGCTTTAGACTTTGGTGGCACTTTCCTCCACGTCTTGTCCAATGGTGGTCGTACTAAAACCATAACTTGTCCTCTACATCATTTATCTCGTTTCTTGTCTTGTTTCTTTTAAAGGCTTGTCATCGGCCTAACTCCCCAGGGTCATGTACCCTCTTCTGTAGTGATGTAGTTTATGTATAAGGGTTCTTTTGTCGTCTTATGTAAATGATCATGCCTCATCTTTGCCTTGACTTGTTGACTTCTTGACGTCCTTTCATACTCCTTATAACCTACTTATTTCCTCCTTCGGTTCCTTTATACTACCCTAGCTTTTCCTAAAGTCTAAACATTCATATGCTCCTTGTCACTGTGTGGTAATGGCGTTGAGCCATCGACCACAAAAACTAGCTGAGGGGCTTCTCGAGGTACCTCTTCGTTTCTTGACCCGTTGCCACTTTCCACTGCTTAGGACCAAAGACCCTGACATCATGCTATTATAATAACTACTGGCATCTGGTGATTGTTCCTCTTCCTTTGGAGATTCATATTTCTCCCCTTTGTTTGTCTTAGCTTATTAGATTATCCACTTGTTTCCTAGTAGTAAAATCCTCGTAATACTCTCTCAACTCCTTCAAAATCCTTGAGGTATTCCCTTTCAATTGGCACCTCTTTGCTGGTGTTTGGAGTTGAAGTCCTCGCACATTTGATTCTACCTCCACAGACCTTTGCAACGTTCCTCCTTCCTTCTCTAGGTTGATGATGATGATCTGTTTGCTAACGTCCAAGTAGCTGGTTAACTAATTGAAAAACTACTATCCATCATGTCGATGAGATACTTGGTCTTGAGAGCCTTTGATATTCTACTTGGGTTGGTCACGTTCTTTTATCCTTTCTTTCTTACTGGCGATCACCATGTCTAAATCTCTCATTTGACAAACCACGACATGTTAACTAAATCGCGTCCTAGTCTATTATTAAACAATCGCACCCTGGGCTACCATCCCTTCGTGCCGTGCTGTCATAGTTATTCACCTTAATATGATTAGAGTAGACTGGAGATTCTATAAACTCTTAAAAGAAGATCCTTGACTCGTTTTTCTTTCCTTTAAAAACAAAAACCTTTAAAACTGAGACCGATATTCCAGTATTCCTTGGAGACCAAAGAACAGAGGAAGACCGGCTCTGATACCAAAATGAAACACCCTAACCCGGCCGGGTACTACTTTTACTAAAATGCCCTTGATAAATAAAATGCTCAAATCTTAAATTGCAGCGGAAAAAAATTTCATAAATAAAATACTGAAAACGCACACTTGTAGTTCAGAGCAAAGCCCTAACACGTGGGCAAATTAAACTCAAACTTTAAATCTCAATCTGTTCTCCAGTCTATACTCATAATCATAAAATGTAAATAACTAGGTAGTCTCTGTCGTTGCTGCTACTGAAAATCTTAACTAGGCATCCTCCGTGACGCTTGCACTGCCCTCCACTAGCTGGTTGCTCTCGAACTTTTCCTCTCGTTCTGCTCCTCTAGCTAGCTTTTACCGATCTGGTTCTCGCTCATTCCCTTACTAAGGCCTGGTGAGTGAGTTGGGGTCAGTCTACGCCCTTACGTTTTAAACTTCTAATGCTTAGCACTTTACTTAAACACTTAACTTTGACTAGTGGAAGTTGTTTGTACTTCCAATCTTAAAATCTTAACTCTTAAACTTTGAGGGAGTTGAAGTTACTCTCCTCTCTTAAAGCTCAAATCCTTACTTGAACTTTTGACTGACACGAGGATCCCTCACTAGCTAGTCCGGTTGCCAACTCATACGTATGAGAAGCCATCCAGGCTTTCCTTAAACTTAAACTTAGTTAGGGGAGTCATAACGATTCATCCCCCTAACATCTTAAACTTATCGTGGTGGCTCTTCACCACGATTCTCAAGAGCATAACTGCTGCTCATCTTAAGAGTCTCAAGAGCATAACTGCTGCTCTATCTCAAAATGTCTCAAAAGGCAACGGACTGACGCTAGTGACTAAAAACACTTAAAACGACTTCATCTTCTTGAAGGTGAGTTACTTCTTAAAAAGAACTTATTTCTTAAACTTTAACCATAGCTCAAACATAACGCTTTAAGGTAAATAGCACAAAATCACCTCAAATCATAGCTCAAGCAAAGCACAAATAAGCAAACATAAATATAACCAAGCAACGGTAACCAATTCGCTAAAATACTCAAAATCATAATACTTAAAAGAATACGTAAGACGTAGAATTTACCCTCTTTACACTCACCTTAAATAAGTAGTCGATAATCTAGTCTCGTGCGTCCGATCGACTTGCTCTTTGCATCCCTCGTCCAGTAGAAGTCATCGATCCAATTGCCCCCATGGTTTTTAGACAATCAAACTAGGTACACCAACACATGATTTACTCAGAATCATGAATTTTAGTTTGGAACATGCCTTAACCATAATGGCTCACTTTTCGTTATCACAACCGTCCATTATAAAATTGATATATACCTAACCATTCGGGACCGGTTACTATAACAACACCCATTGTGTTGTTATCAAGGTTGTCAACCCGTGGGTTGACCCGGACCCGGTCGAGCTAGTGGGTCAAGGGTTAATGGGTCACCCGGTTTAGCCCGTTTCAGCCCGGAAATATGAAAATAGTCATTATATTGTACTTTACTTGATAAATTATATCAAATGTCATCTAACATATGAGTAATAACATATAACATCACACCAAAGTAACATGTCTTACTTAGATCCAACATATAGTGAAAATTCACACACGCTTATATAACATCAATATTCAAATGTTCAACTAAGGATTCCAAAGATTGAGTTAGGCGAAAAGAAAAATCGGAAAATAGGCGCATTTCGCAAACTAAAGAAAAAAAAAAGACATAATTTGACATCCAACTCGATACCTTATAGCGATCGACCCGACGGGTGCGTACGACCCGTTTTTCTCATCGGGTCAGAGTCAAAGTGGGTCAACCCGTGGGTCGACCCGCGGGTTGACAACCTTGGTTGTTATTGTAACAACACTAGTCTCCAAACCAATAGGAAGCTAGGATTGTGATGACTTTTTATTAGATGAGTTGACCTAGTGTAAAATCAAAGCAGGGGTATAATTGTCATTATGAAAAATCTATTTAAATTAAAAAAATAAAAAATAAATTTTTTTTATTTTATGCCCAAAAATTTGGCCGCCGGAATTCTGCCACCGGTCGCCGGAAAATGGTCCCCGGTCACCGGAATATGCCTTTTGTCGACGGAAAATGCTATTTGTGACCGGAATATGCTTACCGGCGTCGGAATATGCTTACTGGCGTCGGAATCTAGTCATCGGGGCCGAAATATGCCTATCGGCGTCGGAATCTGCTGACTGACGGTCACCGGAGTTCGGTCAACGAACTTCGTTGACCGGTCAACGGTCAACGACCACCGGATGTATGGTCTACATTGTGAGATTTATGGTTTGGTTTCTCATATTTTCGTATGCCTTTTGTGGTTTGCTTTATCGTGTTTGTGGTTTGCATTGAGAAGTTTCTGGTTTGCTTTCAAAAATTTTGTGGTTTGCATTGAGGGGTTTCTGGTTTGTTTTAATATATTTGTGGTCTGCATTAGGACGTTTATGGTTTGCGTTTTTGTGGTATGATTTACTGTGTTTGTGGTTTGCATTAGGAGGTTTCTGGTGTGCTTTCGCAAATGTTGTGGTTTGCTTTGTGGGGTTTCTGGTTTGTTTTAGGGGATTTGTGGTATGCATTAGGAGGTTTCTGATTTGCATTAAGAAGTTTCTGGTTTGTTTTATCGCATTTTGTGGTTTGCATTAGGAGGTTTCTGGTTTGTTTTAATATATTTGTGGTCTGCATTAAGACGTTTTTTGTTTGCTTTACCGTGTTTGTGGTTTGAATTAGGTGGTTTCTGGTTTGTTTTTTTTTGTGGTTTACTTTACGGCGTTTGTGGTTTGCATTAGGAGGTTTCTGGTGTGTTTTCGCAAAATTTTTGGTTTGCTTTGTGACATTTGTGGTTTGTTTTAAGGGATTTGTGATATGCATAAGAAGGTTTTGATACTTTTTTTAGTTTGGTTTACTGTATTTGTGGGCTGCATTAGAAGGTTTCTGATGTAATTATGAGACACTTGTGTTGTACATACCATAAATTCCAAATACATAATATAAACACAATAACCCGTAAAAAAATCGAAAAGCACGATCCTCATGAACGTTGTTGTCAACTTCGATAATCTTGGATCCAGCCAAGAATTTGGCTAGAAGAAGCATCATTGTGACGATGCTTCAAGCACAATAGTGATTTCACCGTAATAGAGCTGTGATATGCTTCAATACATGATTATTATTGACTGGTGAAGGGTTATAAAGTAGGAGATGAACATGCCATCTGATTCATGACCTTCCACTTCCAGGTGGAGAGAAGCAATGACAGTGGCTCCCCCATCAACGACAACAGTCTGGCCGGTAATATAAGAAGCCGCCGGAAGGAAGAGGAATGCAACCAACCCTGCCTCCTCCTTCGGCTCTCCAGTTCATCCCATGGGAGTTCGAGCTCTCACTGCCTTTGAGAACTCCTCGCTCTCAAAGTACTGCAAAACACAACATAAAACCAAACGCTACATTACAACATTTCAATAGCTGCTGCAAAACCAACTTCATAGATCTCCCCATTCCACTTAAAAACAGAGATTTTTCAAGCCATGGTATTCCACAAAACACTATCACCAAAACTGCCGCTATCGTCCAGATTTCCTCGCTCTCCCATCGGATTACTCCGCCGCCCGGCGAATCTCGTCCTCCATCTCCTGAAAGTTGCTACTCATCACTCTGTTCCAGTATTCCCCTAATGCGCTGCTACGATGACCATCAACCTCCTCCTCCTTCTTCGTCTTCGTCTTCTCCTCGTGCGGAGGATCCAGATTCAATCCACTCTCCGCAGTTTTATTTACCACCAAAGGACCTCCCCAAGCTTTTCCAGGTTGACTCCTCTTTCCCTCTCCCCTGATCTGGGGAACGATTCTCAATTTAGGAATCCCCACAGCGCACTGAATCTTCTTCCTGTTGATGTGGTCTCCGTCGCCGCCGGATTCACCCTTCTTAGGATGCGGCTCGTTAATTGACCCGCTCCAAAAAATCACTATGTGGGTTGTGAAGAAGAAGCGGAGGAGAAGCTGATGGTGGCGGAAGAGAAGCTGATGGCGGCGGAGGAGATCGAGGTCTGGTAGGGGAAGAGATCTCCTATTGCAACTCCTCGGAAGAGCGTCGCCTGTGCCGGCGCCGGAGGGAAGAAAACGATCGGCCGCAGAATACGATTGGGATCTGAAGAATTGGGGATTGGAGGAGAAGGAGAAACACGCTTTCTATTGCCTTTTTTAATTCTAATTTTATTAATTTTCTTGTAAGTTTACCCTTATACCCTTGTTGTTACAGTAACAACATAATGGGTGTTGTTATTCTATCCGGGCCCTAACCATTCCAATTGCCAAGTTTCCTTCCCAGTTCATGCAGGACAAGAGCTATATTTATGAAGTAATCATTGCCAACCAAAACTCTTCCTTCTACGAGAATCACCCCTTGGAATAATAATGAAGCATCTCGCATTGTTTGATAATTGCATCACGGATAAAAAAAATGATCTAATACGTGAGGGTTTTTCTTACCTCATGAGTTGATATCAGCTTCTGTCGAGCTTCATTCGGTCCATTTCTGAATCCCAAATGCTTCCGATCGTTCCCGGGCTGACGGCTGCCTGGCCTGGTTCGTTATACTTTGTGGCCTCAACCTCAACCCATTGCATCTCCAATTCCATCATTGTTGTAGCACGTCCAATTTCCGATTATTGATTTCGATTTATCGATCACCACCATCCAACCGTTGCTAGTCTCTATGGAGTTTGGCCTCAGCTATCTCCTATACATTCTTCTTTCTCCAATTCAGGACGCAGCTACGACATCTCCTACGTTCTCCCTGTTCATGATGAAAACGTTGCTCGCTGGGCGATGGTGTATTCGGGTGAAAGACGACAGGAAAAGGGTCAATGGTGGTCGGCCGGAGTAGCAATAATGGTGATGGATTGGTGTGTGTGGTGGGGAGGACGGTGCTCCATTCCCAAATATTCATCCCCCTATACGAAGACACTTGTTTTCTGTACGAAGAACTCTTCATCGGGTGGGGGAAAATGGCTGCAAGGGTTTTATTAGTTTTTAGGTTGAGGCGAGAGGGGGTAACAGGTAGGGGTGGCTATACGGTCCGGTCCGGTTAAATTGGCCCAAATTGATCCGGTCCAGTCCGGGTTTTTTTAGAATATAAGGACCGAAGATTGGATTGGATACAGTCTGGTCTTGATCCGGTCCGGTTTTGACCCGGTCCGGTCCCAATTCGGTCTTGATTTTATATTGAGATTGTGGGAATTTGAGTGGCCTAAGGCCTAAAAGGGTGAGGAGTTGGTTAAGTTTTGTACTAAGTGTAAAGGTTTGTGACCGTTTATGCAAATTACCCTTAAGTTTTGAGTGTTGAGCTCTCTTATCCGGTCTTTATCCGGTTTTTTACATCAAATCTAAGCCCAAAGATTGGATTGGATTGTTTACTATCCGGTCCCGGTCCGGTCTCGGTCCGGGTTATACGGTCCGGTTTCCGGTTTTTCATCCGGTCCCGATCCAAATAGCCAGCCCTAGTAACAGGTCTAGGGTTTAAGTGGTTCAAGTGTATTTTGGGAATTTCAACGGGTGAGTTTAATATGGAACTCAATTAACGTCCGTAACTTTCGTGTTTCAAGACCAAACTCGACACCGTTTAAATCGAGAGTTTACATTTTAGTCCTCATCGATAATACGGTGGAACTTGACCCAAGGGTATAATAGTCATTTTAACTTTTGGTAAGAGCGGGGTGTAACAATACTTGGGTCTTAGGTGGGAATTTGTTGTGATATTCGGGACATGTCACACTTCAACACTTAATGAAAAATGCTCTCTATTAAGAACTTCTTCAAACACTACCTTTTCGTTCCTAGCAGAAACCGTGAAAAATCCACCTATGTAGAACCTCAATGGAGCTCAAAAGCGAGAGCCCCAAGACACAAGGATGACTCACGATGGTTTAGAAACGAAGAAAGGAAAGGGTCGTTCTATCAATCACCATTAAGCTCAAAAACTACAAGATCCTAAAATGAGAACGACCAAAAGTCACACTGCTCAAAGGGGTTGAGTAGGGGATAAGATGTTTCAGGACAATCAACTTTTGGGCGTGGACTAATCCTATGCCTCCATCATACTCACTAGTGACAACGTGAATGTTACTCGCCATGGTAAGGGGATCTATCACACATGAAAAAGACGTTCGCAAATCTCACATGGCTACCTAATCACCAATCATATATTCCAATTTCACAAATTTTGATGCATGGCAATTGCAATCAAAGAGTAATCAAGTCAATACATCCATTCATTTGCACACACATGAGAACTAAACATTTGCACCAACCTAATGCGATTCTCAATCATCATAATAGGATGCACTCGATCACAAGCAATCAATTCAAGGTTAATGCACAACCCGACCACTTAGATCAAGCATTCACACACAATAGACATGCCAATTCCAATTTGTAAACCCCCACACTTAAGCATGACACTGTCCTCAATGTAGAAAAAGCGTAGGGTGAAGAAGTTACCAAACAATTGGCAAGCGAAAGTTGGACAAGTTCCAGGGTAGGAGATTCGAGCTTTAAACAGAAGAAGTAAACACACAAACAAACGTGCATTCTCGTTCGAGGTTATTATGGGTAAATTGTAAGGTTGGTCACTGAAATTGTTAAAAACGTTCGCATTTGGTCACTACAAATATTAAATTCCGTTCATGGTCACTCAAATAAGGTCAACAGTTCAATTGTGGTTACTCTCTGTTACCTTCCGTTAGTCTCCGTTAATAGCGTCAGTTTTTTTGCTGATGTGGCTAACAAAAATGCCCAATCAGTCTTTTTCAACCATAAAAAATTCATATTCAACCATACACTTCAACCCACCCACCCAGCTCACATGACCAGACCCAGGACACCTTTTAATTTTATTTTTTAAATTTTTCTCCCTTCTCCCCGTCGCTCAATTCCTCTCTTCTCTCCACTCCTCCACAAACTTTTCTTCACCATCCTTTCTCTTCCACCATCGCCGCCACAATTTTCAAACCTTCAAATACCATCTCCCTCTTTGCATTTCAACTTCCCCGTAGAGTCCCCAACATCAGCTCGTTTTTGCCCAAACAAACTTGCGATTAAGGGATGCATGTTAGATTATGGTCGCAATTGAATCTGAGTTTCAAATAGGGAAGGAAATAAAATGGCGGTGAATCAAGCTCCGGGAAGGGGCAGCTAGCTGAGAACCCTCCGTAGGACCAACGATTCCTCCCCCTTCTCTCCTTCGCCGATTCCTACTGGCGGTCTTACCAGTGCCTTGTCTTCTTCCCCATCCCAAATCAGAGATCTCGCCCTTCGTATCACAGATCTCCACCACCTGCGTCTTAGCTTTGACCGATATCTAAGATTTCAACTGGCCTTCCATGGCGTCTGTAAAATCATCTGGTTGACTTGATCGGTGCTCGAGGGCGGCTAGGGATCTGGGTGACTTGGGCGAGGCTGGCAGATTGAAGAGCAGGTTTAATGGGGAATGGAAAATTTTATTTTGATTATTTTTATTTTGTATTTTCGGCAAGACTAAGTGAGATTAGGGAGGTGCAAAATGGGGAACTGGACTAGGCAAGAGGCATTGATGATTAAATTGGTTGGGGTTTGAGACGATTTGTTTGGGTATTTCCTCTGATCTTCTTCAGTTCTTCTCCGATGGGAAAGGCATGGCCGGTCGCCAAAATAGAGAAGGCTGTTGACGGGCTGCTTCTGGTCCTCTTCTCCAACTACCGGCGACCTGAGAATTTTGCAGAGGCTAGGAGTTTTACCGGTGGGTGGGATTTGTTCGCTGGATTAGTGTTTTTAATTATATTTATTTTAATTTTTAATCTGAGTGGTTCGAGTCATGAGTTATTTGGTTCAGAGTAGGGGTCACGAGTTGGATTAGAGTGACTATGTGGGTTTAATGATTTGGCAGGTCGATTTTAAATATTTTAGAGTTAAAATAGGCGGATTGGGCATTTTTTTAAGCCACGTCAGTAAAAAACTAATGCCGTTAACAAAGATTAACAGAAGGTAACGGAGAGTGACCATAATTGAACTATTGAACTAATTTGAGTGACCACGAACGAAATTAAATATTTGTAGTCACCAAACACGAACCTTTTTAGTAATCGCAGTGACCAACCTTGCAATTTACCCAGGTTATTATATATAACAATATTCCACATCATGAATAAAGGAAAGAAAAAAAAAACTCTCAATAGCACTTGTTCACACAATAAAGAAAAAGAAAAATAACAAGGTTCAGAGATTCAAGTGGAGAAGTGGGGTGAAATAAATCGGCTCTGCCATATGTCTCACTCGGTTGACTACCTCGCTCGAGTCGAAGGTGATCACTCATCGTCGTCTGACAAGACA